GTGCCTTAGACCACTGCGCCACTCGGGAGTCTACGTTTATAAACGTTTATAAAAGAAGAAAATAATAATACTTGAGTCTTTAAATCGATTCCACAAAAAAAGACTTGAATTTTCCTTCAAAATAATAAATTCCCGACATGTGAATCATTAATTTCCCAAGCGATTCCTGAACATTTGATAAGCATTCTGCAACCAAAATGGCAGCTGTCATTTAACACAGTCCTGTCAAATTGTATTTGCCTCGGTACAAACATGGCTTGGACCGAGTAGGCCAACAGTAGATAAATACAGCGAGGGCCGTATAATTTGCTACTGAGAAATGTTCACTCACAAAGAACGACAAAATAAACTCAGAGTGGTTCAAACACGAGTGTTTCCTTTACTACTAATGCAAGCTTGTTCAGCAAGCAAAACATTTTGCTAAAGTTAGCTCCAATGCAAAACAAGCTATCTAGTAACCAATGTTAGCTAGATAACTCAACAAGGCCGGCTATAGTTTGTGCATGACTGACAAGGCTGGCTAACTCGATAACACACGTCCAATCGCTCAACAAGTCAATGCCTAGTTTGTTCGTGACGCAGCTAACTCAACAACAAGGAGATTAATTGAGTGAAGTAGTTAGTTAGCCATTGTATTTCAGCCCGTCTTGAGTTAGCTAACGTTACCAAATAGCATTGGCTAGCTTACTAGCAACCATGCCAAACATTAGTTGGCTAACGTTAGCTATAACGAGTCTGCAGCAGCAGAAAATACAAAAACCGATTAGCTTACAACACAAGCAAATATTACATTTAGTCAGTTCAACTTACGGGTCGAATCACTCTAGATTTCCAGCTCCGTTGTCTTGCCTGGACATCTCCAACGTTTAGCGCCTGAATTTGAAATTCCGTCTTCTGCCCATTTGCTCTTCAAAATGTTGAATGCGTATGCGCCCCCAGGTGGTATAAGCAAGTCGGTCCCAGAGACAATCTCTGACCATATTCACACCAGATAGCCCACTTACAACCCATTTATATATGGTAAAGGTCCCATTTGGGACATATGTTGCCCACATGGGTTTGCCTGTGTGTGACCGAACTGGTTAACCCGACTGGGTTCCAATCATAATTCTTAAAAAAAAAAAAAAAAGAAGAAGTTGTATCCAAGTTACAGGCCATTAAAAAAATATTCAAAGCCCTTTTCTGGCACCAAATATTAACCCAACTGGGTACTAGCTACAGTGGGGGAAAAAAGTATTTAGTCAGCCACCAATTGTGCAAGTTCTCCCACTTAAAAAGATGAGAGAGGCCTGTAATTTTCATCATAGGTACACGTCAACTATGACAGACAAAATGAGAAAAAAAATTCCAGAAAATGAAATTGTAGGATTTTTAATGAATTTATTTGCAAATTATGGTGGAAAATAAGTATTTGGTCAATAACAAAAGTTTCTCAATACTTTGTTATATACCCTTTGTTGGCAATGACACAGGTCAAACGTTTTCTGTAAGTCTTCACAAGGTTTTCACACAATGTTGCTGGTATTTTGGCCCATTCCTCCATGCAGATCTCCTCTAGAGCAGTGATGTTTTGGGGCTGTCGCTGGGCAACACGGACTTTCAACTCCCTCCAAAGATTTTCTATGGGGTTGAGATCTGGAGACTGGCTAGGCCACTCCAGGACCTTGAAATGCTTCTTACGAAGCCACTCCTTCGTTGCCCGGGCGGTGTGTTTGGGATCATTGTCATGCTGAAAGACCCAGTCACGTTTCATCTTCAATGCCCTTGCTGATGGAAGGAGGTTTTCACTCAAAATCTCACGATACATGGCCCCAATCATTCTTTCCTTTACACAGATAAGTCGTCCTGGTCCCTTTGCAGATAAACAGCCCCAAAGCATGATGTTTCCACCCCCATGCTTCACAGTAGGTATGGTGTTCTTTGGATGCAACTCAGCATTCTTTGTCCTCCAAACACGACAAGTTGAGTACCAAAAAGTTCTATTTTGGTTTCATCTGACCATATGACATTCTCCCAATCCTCTTCTGGATCATCTAAATGCACTCTAGCAAACTTCAGACGGGCCTGGACATGTACTGGCTTAAGCAGGGGGACACGTCTGGCACTGCAGGATTTGAGTCCCTGGCGGCGTAGTGTGTTACTGATGGTAGGCTTTGTTACTTTGGTCCCAGCTCTCTGCAGGTCATTCACTAGGTCCCCCCCGTGTGGTTCTGGGATTTTTGCTCACTGTTCTTGTGATCATTTTGACCCCACGGGGTGAGATCTTGCGTGGAACCCCAGATCAAGGGAGATTATCAGTGGTCTTGTATGTCTTCCATTTCCTAATAATTGCTCCCACAGTTGATTTCTTCAAACCAAGCTGCTTACCTATTGCAGATTCAGTCTTCCCAGCCTGGTGCAGGTCTACAATTTTGTTTCTGGTGTCCTTTGACAGCTCTTTGGTCTTGGCCATAGTGGAGTTTGGAGTGTGACTGTTTGAGGTTGTGGACAGGTGTCTTTTATACTGATAACAAGTTCAAACAGGTGCCATTAATACAGGTAACGAGTGGAGGACAGAGGAGCCTCTTAAAGAAGAAGTTACAGGTCTGTGAGAGCCAGAAATCTTGCTTGTTTGTAGGTGACCAAATACTTATTTTCCACCATAATTTGCAAATAAATTCATTAAAGATCCTACAATGTGATTTTCTGGATTTTTTTTCCTCATTTTGTCTGTCATAGTTGACGTGTACCTATGATGAAAATTACAGGCCTCTCTCATCTTTTTAAGTGGGAGAACTTGCACAATTGGTGGCTGACTAAATACTTTTTTCCCCCACTGTAAAATAATAATTTAACCTTTTACTACAGTGGGCTAAATCAGGGACACACACATGGTTATGGGCTTAAAAAAAGAAGACATCTGTACTATGTCAGATATAGAGCTCACTTTTTATATTTGTTACGTTTGCCTTCAAGGTCAAACAACCATTATCTCTGGTTTGGAGCATTGCTTTCCCAGTCAGAACACTGCCTGGTGCTCCACTAAAGGGAATTTCCATCAGTGAGTCCATGCTGAAGAGGCTTCAGCAAAATAGTCCTGAGTACCCCTCTTCAGAATCCCCAATGCACTGAACAGCTCTCAGCATATAGCATTTGCCTACAAAACTAGCTTAATTGACAGTCCTCGGCTGGGACGAATGGACATTTTGTTCCCAATAAGATCAGATCTAACTTAAATTAAAATTCAGCAGCTCTGTTCCACCTGCACTAGATCCACTCCTCCCGGATGACATTTAAATAACCATGATTTGGACACTTATCATTAAGACATTGGCTGATTAAAAGACCATTTCAAAATTACATTTTCTAAATCAGATAATATCCTTATCACATTTGTAGTGGGTACTATGCAATATTGTGTAGTCTACCAACATAGTCATTACTTGAATAGTTGCCATGTAATTACATTGCCTATTTATTAGTGACAGTTCTTGAAAAGTGTTATCTAAATGAAGTCATACAAACTGGTTTTACATAATCTCAGCAGGATTATCAACCATTGTGGATGTGTTAGATGGCTGACGTGGTTGTAGCAGCCGAGGAGTGTCAATAAAGCTAGTTTGGTAGGCATATGCTATATGCTGAGAGCTGTTCTGCCACAATGCTAGCTTGATTTATATCCTTGGTTGCCAAAGATAGATGACTTGATCAAACAAAAATGACTAACAAGGCTTTATGACTCTATATTACGTAGATGCTCTCACACTATCTCTCCTTTATTTCCTGTTTCCAAGAACTAGCTTCTAGTTCACACCATGTGAAACGAAAGCTCAGATAGTCTACACAATGCACATACAATGCACAGTTATTAACTGGCAGGAACATTTGGTGTTCCTGGTGATTTGGAATACAGCCCAAAATGGTTGCCTTGGTGACCCAATTAGTGTAAAATAATTATCATAGTAATGATAGAGTATGAGCAAACATGTTCTATCATCATCCGGAGATGAACGTTGTATTGCACGTCTGATACCCTGTTGCACTGAAATGGATGTTGTCTAGCTTCGTAAGGAGAGGCTCTGATTGGTGTGATGAATAGTAAATATATTGAAATGCATAGCTAAATTACATATTTTGTGCTACTTAGTTATTAACTACAGTATATAGTGATTTTTTTTTTTTTTAATGGCACGTGGCCAGTGTTGTACTATGCAGGCATAATCATGTACTGATCACCATGGTTGGGTAGGTTACTTTATAAATGTAATCCGTTAAAGTTACTACTGTAGTTACCTGTCCAAAATTGTAATCAGTACCATCACTTTTGATTGAGCCAAACTCAGTAACGTAATCGGATTACTTTCAGTTCCTTTTGGATTACATTCCCTCTAAGAGACATTAGAAGAAGACAAAAAGGATCCATCAAACGCATTTGGTGTATCATCACAGTGGTCTGACTTGTGGTTAGAGTCGCTAAGGTGGAACAAACTTAAACTTGCGCCTTTGTAGGGTGGCAGGTAGCATAGTGGTTAGAGTATTTGGCCAGTAACGAAAAGTTGCTGGTTTGAACACCCGAGCCAACAAGATGAAAAATCTGTTTATGTGCCCTTGAGCAAGGCACATAACCCTAATTTGCTCCAGGGGCACAGTACAACTATGGCTGACCCTGTAAAACAACAACCTATCTGGTGTATGTGACAATAAAGCACATCTTTTTTTTTCAATGCTGAATTGAATGTCATTGAGAAAGCATAAAGGTGTCATAATGTATTTTTTCCTTCATATGTTACCAGCAAAAGTATCTGTAATCTGATTATAATCATTTTGCTGGTAATGTAACTGATTACTGTTACAGTTTTTTTTGGTCATCAGATTACTCCCTAACCCTGCTGATTACAACTTTGCTATTCAGTTACCTCATCAATATAATATACTGACTCAAAAGTGATATTGGAAGTGATATTGGAAAAACAATATTAAAGGAAAATATGAAAGAGACACTGTTGTAATATTGTGGTTTAGTTTTTTATTCAAATAACATATTATTTTTTCCAGTAAAAAAACATCACAAATCAGTTAACAGTAGAAATATATTGCACAATTTTTTCATCATTTGTTGGTCTTTTCAAACACAATAATTAAAACATAGAGACAACAGAACAGAGTAGAAACAAATAAATATAATAAATACTCAGTTTCTATTTGCATTAAAAAACATGTAGAAAACATGCCTAGTCATGAACACAGTGTTAGACATTGATGCAGCAAACTGGGACACTATAACAGTGTGTCTTTGATTGTAAATGTCCAACTTGTCAATGCAAATTGTCAATGCATCCTTTACACCCTTCCTTCAGCCCACTCTGTGTCTCTGTACATTCACTGATGATAGTCCACATCATGTGGTGATATTGCCATCACAGTTCTTGTTCAAGTCTCAACTTCCGTCCTCATGGGGTATCACTCCATCTGCCTTTTCTCTTTCTCTCCTTCAGAGCTTTATGGTGATTGACACTCATCATTTTTCAGAGTAGCTGGCACCAGAACTTCTGGTTCATGACGAGACATTCGTCCATCTGTACAATTCCGGTCTTGAGGCTTCATGCCCAGTCAATGCTCAAGGGCGATGCATTCCTTTTCTGTTTAAACTTTAGACGACCACACTAGGTCCTCTGTTACTAATTCACGCCTTCTTGGAGGTGGATGTGCACTTGGCACGGAGCTGGCTGATCAGGTCTTTGTAAGCCGGGGAACGAAGGAAGCGAGGGTAGCAGTCCTTGGCCATGAGAAGGTAGATCCTATGCTGGGCCATGTCGAAACAGGATGTAGATGGATCTTTTAGGTTGGCCCTGGTGATGTCACGAGTCTCGTGGTCAATGTTCACCTGGAGAGAGAGAATGGAGAGAGTGAGGTTAGTCATCTGCTGCAGTCTGAATGAAGGTTTTTTATTTTTCACTTTTGAGTTATAATTAAGATTATTGAATGTGGGATGCTATGCAAATTCCATAGGTGAGGGAGAATAAAGCAAGCTGTTGAGGGATGCATACCTCTCGGGGTGCGTCGGTGCAGATGAACTCATCATAGATTCTCTGGGCTTTGGCCTCCAGCTTGGCAGCAGACTTAGTGTTCCTGAAGTCCTCACAGGCAACGTAGAACGCAATGTTCTCCTCACTGAACTCTGACACCAGGAAAGCTGTAAAGGCCATCAGTCCATCTGATGAAGAGAGAGAGAAAGAGAGAGAGAGAGATTAATATTGGTACAGTGCAATAACAATGATGCTGTGCAGTGGGCTATCCTAGCATCTGTGTCCTTGCATTATCTACTGTGTGTGTGTGTGTGTACACATGTGTATGCATGTGTCTGTATCTTGTGGTATAGCCACCAGCACAGTGCCAGCACGTGTGTTCTAATCTACAACAGCGGCTGTGTGATGTGGTCAGTAATACTGGGGCTAAAATCTGGGGCTAAAATTTGACAAAATGCCCTACTCTAATCATAAAGGTTTATTTCTGTTGCATCTCTGTAGAACTAGGCTAATCGTGTGTATGTGTGCGTGTGTTTGTGCAGTGAAGAGTAAGGTTTACTTACGTTTATTGGACAACAGCTTTTCGAAAGACTCTTTCCACCTCATGCATTGTTCCAGAGTAGGTCTAGTTTTGCCTATTTTGAAGCTTGCTAGACTCCAGTCGGGTTTTTGCAGAAAGCTGCCCAGCCTTGCTTTTAGTTCCTTGGCCCTAGAGAGAGCGAATAACGTCATAGGTTAGATAAATACTCCACAAGTCCTTGAATTGAGTCATTGTTCAGCACAATATTTTGCTACAAACTAATCACAAAATAATCTAGACACGTCTCCACGCTGCAAGGTCTAAATTTAGAATCCACCAAAACCGCCTTCACTTTCACCATTACAGAAGCTACAACACCCAATAATTATCCCCTTTAATCCTTTAATCCAAATGCCAAAGACAGCAACAGTAAACCTGTGGATGGTAAAAAAGAGTTCTATATACCTTTCCAGGCAGGTGGTAGGCAGTAATGTTAGTCCTTTGCACATAGTTGCTGTGGATTGTAGAGAACAGTAGGTAGATAGGTAGATGTGTAGCAGTTGAACTGATATCAACAGTGTGTCTGCAGTGAGGGAGCATAGAGCTTTTATCCTCCAGCCTGCGACTCATCATCAGTCTGCTCAGCCAATGACACAGCCTGAGGACTCTGCGTGTGTGTGTGAGAGAGAGAGAGATACAGGGAGAGAGAGAGATAGGGAAGGAGGAAAATGAATAGGAAGGGAGGGAGGGTGGGTGGGTGGGAAGGAAGGAGAAAGAGAACAAGAGAGGGATAGAGAGGAGAGATGGGGAGAGAGATGGAGAGAGGGTGAAGCTGGGAAATGACTGTGTGACCTAATGAAAAAAGCTTCAGATAATTTTTTATGTTCTTTTCAACATCCCTGAAATCAAACATGTTCTTTCTGTTGTTTGTTCTCTTTATGCTCTCTGGAAACATGTTACTGTCTGATTGGACAAAATGAATCTCCCACTTACATGGGCCAGCGGGTATTTGTGTGTGTGTGTGTCCATGTCGGTGTGTGTGTGCATCCATTCACGTGTGTGCGTGCATGTGTTCAGTTCATGTGTGTATGTGTGGCAGCGCTTACTAACCGTAAGGAAGAGCTGCCAACATGTGCACTGTTATATCCGCCACCTGTTGGATGTCAGCTCAATAAGGATACTCTTCCTTTGTCTGCAGTTTTTTTGTATTATTATTTTTAACCTTTATTTGACTAGGCAAAATCTGGGGCTGCTGTTTTGTCTGCTATTAATGAACACTGCTTGGACACAAACACACAGGAGATAGCAGGGGAGATAAGATGAGAATACAGTAATACAATTACATCCTACAACTGTAGGAATTACCCCTCAATAAAGATGACCTCATAGATACAAAAAGTCCAGGGCCTGTTTCAGGGAAGGAAATGTGGTTTGATTCTTTTGTAATGTTTAATTATCATTACAACATTTGATTGGATATACATAGCTCCTTGATATTCCAAAAAAAGGAAAGGTGATAGCATCTCCAGTAAATGACTGCAAATCATGTATGAGAGATGCTATCACCTTTTCTTTTTAGGAATATCAAGGATCTATAATGACTCAGATTAACACCCCATTCCAGAGAAACATTTAGCAGAGCCGGCACATCTATACTGTATATTAATGGAACCAGGAACCAGTCAAGAACTGCAACACTGCTGGGTTTTTCACACTCAACAGTTTCCTGTGTGAATCAAGAATGGTCCGTCACCCAAAGGACATCCAGCCAACTTGGCACAACTGTGGAAAGCATTGGAGTCAACATGGGCCAGAATCCCTGTGGAATGCTTTCAACACCTCGAAGAGTCCATGCCCCGACGAATTGAGGCTGTTCTGAGGGCAAAAGGGAGTTCAACTCAATATTAGGAAGGTGTTCTTAATGTTTTGTAAACTCAGTGTATACACCAACATATGTAATAATGCAAACACACACTACAATGAAATAGGCCTTTTTCAATTAAAGTCCAACGACATTCAAACCAAACAACATCTCTACAAAAGATCTCTGCCTTCATAGATACTTGTGTACACTCTTAGACAAAAAGGTGCTAAGTAGAACCATATAGGGTTCTTCCATTTGAAGCCTTTTTGGTGCAAAGTAGAACCCTTTCAGGAGGGATTTCGGGAGGTGGGGGGGGGGGGGGGGGATTTTTGCTAAGCTAACATATGAAATTGTTTTAAGATGGTCATACCATGGTTCATTTTGCTATTTGATTTAGAATTTTAGGACCCCTGTAGGTATCAATCTTTCTTATTTTCTTATTTGATTAAACATTGAATTTGGCCTTACTGCTATTAGCCCATAGAAACGCATTGAATAACATATTCATACAAGGCAAAATAGATAGTCAAAAAATAGACCAGAAGGAAGCTTGTTTGGAAGTGTCTCTCCTACAGTATATCTGAGAGTTTGCAAAGCTGTCATCAAGGCAAAGGGTGGGTATTTTAAGAATCTCAAATATAAAATATATTTTGATTTGTTTAACACTTTTTTGGTTACTACATGATTCCATATATGTTATTTCATAGTTTTGATGTCTTCACTATTATTCTACAATGTAAAAAATAGTAAAAATAAAGAAAAACCCTTGAATGGGTAGGTGTGTCCAAAACTTTTGACTGGTACTGTATATTTTTTGACCCATGTTTAAGCCCTTTTTTTGGGGCACTAAACTACTTCCATATAATATACTTCCATAAATTGTTTTAACTGGTACTGGGCCACCTTGTGAGGCTTGTGGGCGTCTTAGAGCAGAACAACTAACGTACGTGTTCGTGTGATTCTCATCTTTCCATAGAGGGGACATATTAGTTTGTAGCCATTCGGATGTTTCTGTGAGAAGACCGATTTATGGGATGTCTCCTGGTCTGACAAACACTGCTGTAGCTCTTCCACCTTCCACCACAGATGCAGAAGGCCGACATCGGTGGATGCGGTGGACTGAGATGCAGATATCTCTAGCTACCTCTTAGATGTAAGGTCCCCTTTTTAGGGGACCTGCGTGGTTCTGGTACCGGTTCCAACTAACATTTTTGCTTATAAATTGATTTGTGGATACCGTAGATCAATATGGCTTGCATTGAGCGATAGCCCTGGTTCCCGCGGACCAGTAATATTTTTTTCTGAGCCTGTGTGACATAGGATGTGAAATCTGAAACCACTTGAAGCAGGGATGTCCCTCCTACCATTTAGTTCGCTCTTCCAACTGTCCATCAACTCCTGACTGAACCCTACAACACAGCCACTGACAAAGCACATGCCTGCAATCGTTACATCGTAGCGCAGCAGGAGAGTGTGGTTTCATCATGGTAGCACATTCATAGATCGATTTATAGCCATTAATCGAAAACAATTCATAGATTTTAAACTAAAAAGACGGAAGACGAGTTAGAGCTCTGTGAAACGTTCACAGCGATGGGGGCAGACATTTTGATCAAGAGAGACCTTTAGAAAATATGCACATTTTCTCTAACAATAAACATTATAAATATGTATTTTACAGTTATAAGGAAGGTGAAATCTTATAGTCGTTTTATAATTTGATTATGTTATATTTAGAAAGCACAGAAGTCATTTCAAGCCTTATTCATACAGTTTTGTTGAATAGGAAATACATCATATAAATATATTTCATATTTTTATCATATTTGTGCTCTGTACTTGAGCTTGTGTCCTCAAAAGTGACTACACCTCAGCAATTTATAACTATCTTTTACCGGAAAGGTGATATTGTAATCTTTATTTGAGTATGCAGTATTGCTAGTTATTGTTTATGGCCCTCTCATGATAAATAATTACTTTTGGGGATTACGTAGATTACATTTTCGATTACATTTATTTACATTTAACTGGTTTTAAACCGATGGATTTAGATTTTTCTATTATGCTAATTAGTTTTGCGCACGGTCATCGACTTTAGGGGGTTTAAACACTGAGGTAAACACTAATGCTCAGGCGCTATTTAAAAGAAAGTTAAATAATACAATAAAAAAGCTTATTTGGATTCAGAAGGGTTCTAAGTAGAACCTTCTTGCCTTCCAAATAATCCTTCTTGCCTTCCAAAGAATCTTCAAAGAACCCTTTCTTCCAAAAAGGGTTCTTCAGATGAAAATAGTTATTGGTAGAACCCTATCGCTCCGCAAAGAACCCTTTTGGAAATCCTTTTTTCTAAGAGTATCATCATAATGTCGTCAGACAGATGCATCATTTGTATTACCTATCCTTCTTACGCGACCCTAGAGAAAATAAACATATGACCGTGCAATACACAAACATAATGACTGCACAATGCACAAATGCCATTTTTTATTACAGCATTAATCAAGGTTAGTTTTCATTAATGAGGATGATTCACCTGCATCATCAGTGTATGGCTCATAAAATAGACCCTGGGGACTGTATGGGTTACCATGGGGAGCATTCAGGTAAAAGACCATTCGATTTAATATGAGGGAATAAAAAGTATCTCTGGTCCTTAGAAAGGCCTGGGAGAATCTGCCCACACACACAGAAACACACAGTTATCATGGTGATGTCATCACACAAAAAAAGAGAATGAAGGAGGGAGGAAGAGTCTGGAAGGAAATAATGTGTTTGTTGTATAAGGTGTGGGAATTACAAAAGGAACTCTCCGGAAGCTGTGAAGATGCTGTCCTTGAGGTCTCTTGCTGTCTTCTCTAAGGTTGGGGTTGCCTGGGTGATGTAAGCTAGGGTACTTTCTTCTCTTCTTTACTTGGGAGCTATTTGCTCAAGGAGGAGGTGTGGAGGGAGGCCATAGCCCTCTGTATTTTCTTTCCATATCTCTCTTTCTATCTGTCTTGTTGCATACTCTACATACAAACCTACAGCATTGGCATATACACAAGTAATTCAAGATTTATGCTAAGATGATAGTTTCTTTATGGAGGTGAAGATCAGTTATTGGAAGGCAAACCATATAAGGGATGCTTTACCGGGGTCTAGTAGCAGTTCGCAGTAGCCTTTCGGTCTTTGGTTGGGATTCTGAAAATATACACAAGCAGCTGATTCTCTGTCACAGTTAGATGCTCAATATAACACACTCACACAGACCTGCTTTGTTAGAAGATCCCCTGATAATGACCTATTCTGGGTATACAGTACCCTAACCCTGCAGACAAGCAGAGGAGTAGACAAGATATGACCCAAAGATACACGTTCACAAAACAGACAGTCCTTGAGAAGGACTGTCACACATAATTTCATGTCTCCAAAGGGAAATAATAATTGAAAGCATCTTTCTTCTTTTATTAATTCCGTTCTGGTCTTTCATGGAATGTGTTTGATAATCTCCTGATTTAGCCTCTCTGAACAGGTTTGCTGGCGCTTTGTAATTGTCCTGTGTAGCAGCACTGAGTATGTTATTATTTACCAAATAACCATCTGTTTACCTAACTGTATATGTTCATCATTGCATTCAGGTTTTTTGACACCACAAAGCCGAACAACACTGCATAAAACCTGAATTGACGTTTCAGGTCAGGGTGGAATACAGTATTAAAAAAGTTTTA